CTGGATTCAGTAAGTTTTCTGTTATCAAGTCTTTGAATAAGCTTTCTACTCCTTTGGCATTTACTAGTTTTTTTCTTAATCCCTAAAGCCCCAAATATTTGATTTGTAATACTATCCCCAATTCTTATAATTTCTATTCATTCTTTATTCTTCATCTTTTATCCCCTTTATTCTTCTGTTTTCTCCTCCAAATGGGCATTTTCAAATAGTCTATCTTTGAATTCACTGATTCTTTCTTTGGTTTGGTATATCTTACTATTGATACCGTCTATAGTATTTTGAATTTTGCTGAGTGTATATTTCAGCTCAAATATTTCCTATGGATTTTTAAATTTTTTCTTTCATCTTTTTTTAACTAAGTTCTTCTGTTGTCTGCATTGCTTAATATCCTGTCCTACTATTCACAAATATTGTCTTACTCCACACTATGCTGAGGTCCAGGTAGTATTGCTGAAAGCGTAAATACCTTGGCCACCAAGGCTGAGGTGCACCCGAGTCTCATAGCTGCAAAAAATTGCAAATTCTCAGGGTTGTATACAGGCCCACAGTGCAGCTGGCAGTGATCCACATTGAAACTCAGGTTCATCCTACTGGCATACAAATCTCCTGATGCCTGAGCAGGTGGGTGTAGATGCTCCCTCTGTGAGTACTGGCCTGGGGATAACTTGCGCTGCACAAAGTTGTGATATACGTAGTGGAGATAATAGTTTCTTGACCACAAAGGATGACAGCAGGCTGGGTTGCATATGACTTTGACAGCTTCAGGGACCTGCACAATTTTAGAGTAGGGAGTGCCCCAAGCCCATTCCAAGACAAAGTGTGTATTCTAGCTTTCATTCCCTGCATTCAATAGGTAGTAGTCTTATTCCCATCTTCTACCTGAGGTGAGAAGAGGGGTGGTGGAGTAGTCCCTTGGCTACCTGGATACCACTGTTCCTGTGTCTCACCCATGGGTTCTGGCCCACCTTCATGGATTGTGGGTTTCTTTCAGGTCCCTGGGTTTCACCATGGCAGGTGTGGTACTGGGTTTCAAGTCTAAGGCCTTGATTCAATTCCTTCTTCATCTCTCAAGTGGGCTGTATCTCTCTAGGCTGCTTGGAGTAGGGGAATGAGTGATGCAGGCAATGTTTTTCTTCTTAACTTCTTTAATTTGTCTTTTTAAATTAATATTATTATTATAAAACCAGGTACTATGGTCTCTCATCTGGTTTCCTTAGCTTTGTGAAGATTGTTTGTAGGTGAATGCCTGTTGAAATTGGTGTTAGTAAAGAACCATTGCTGGAGGATCTTCAGCCCCATCTTTGGTATTTTCTTTTGTTTACTCAAGGATATAACTTTGTATTTAAGACTGAATGCATACCAATTTCCATGAATAATCTTTGAAGAATAGAACTTTTGTCATTAGGTATAGTTCATTCTTACCTCTGATAAGGATCTGGAGAGTATATATTTTATTGTAAAAATAAGTGTTCAAAGAATAAGATAAAAAATGAGTAATGTGTTGTCTTTGTTAGATTTCATCATTTAATACCAACAAATGTTTATGGATTACCTACTATATGCTAGGTCCTCTAATAGTATTAGGGATAGATCTCTTGAATAGAGATACAAACTTATTGCCTTCAGAAAACTTACATGTTGGAATATGAAGACATAGCTGTAATTAACATCATATGTAGGGTTACCAAGTATTCAGATGAAAATAATGAAAAGAAATTATTAATATATGGGAGGGGATGGATTATATGTGGAGAGAAAAAATATTGGAATGGTCAGTTATACTGAGATTTAAAGTTATTCTAACATATACTCAATTTTGAGTATTAATTTTCCTTCCCTTCATTAATTTTATGGCAGGATCACTTGTATGAAACTACTAAAATGGTATCCTTGACAAATAGGAAACTATCTTTATGACATATAAGAAGTAAAGGAATGAGAATGAGAGATGATAGTAGGGGAGGGTTCATCCATGTAGCTCATTTCAAAGCCACCATTAAAGACTTGAAAGACATAAGTAGCCTAATTTCTATATCCGTCCCATTCAATTCTCAGACTCAATTGCTATAGACATTTGATTGGTTCTAGATAATGCTGCTAAATCTCCAACAATGAAGATTAGGTTTCCTTGGAGCATACTCTTAGATGGAGATTTACAGGTAGCAAGTTTGTTATGGAATGCTCTTGGAATCCAAACTGATGGAAGGAAGCAAGACTGAGTAGGGTAAGGCAAGGAATTTTGTATCTTCTATGGAAGTCTCTGCCAAACTTGTAGGGAGTTCTTAGGTTCATCCCTCTCACCCCAATTTGAATCTATCTACTGACCCACACCAATCACTAAATGTTCCTCTTTTCCTCAAGAAGGGGGACCTAACATCTGAGGATGTGGTCCTCTTTAGCTGAGGCAATTCCCTAAGAAAACTTATAGCTAAAAGTACTATTCTTGCAGAACTCTCAACAGATGAGAAATAAGTTATTTCTTGAGGGATATCTATATAGTGCATACAGTATCCCTCCAAATAATCTAATTTGGTGATGACTTAAATTGCAGGTGCTTTTCTGGATGTTTCTTTTACTAAATGAAACAATATGGCCCCTAGAACTTGGTTTGAAAATATTTGTTTGGCTACTGGATTTCTGATCTACTGAACTGGACTTTAAGCATGAAGTCTATAAATCTATAGTTTTACAAAGAATTCCAGTGACTACTTTATAACCCATCCAAAGACTTACATTTTATAATCTTAGGTGTTCTATGGAAAGCTATGGCTCTATTGTGGCCAGTGAAATGTTAATGGAAGTGTGTGTATAATTTGGGGATTTTCCCTCAAAAGGAAGGAGCATGCACTCCCCTTCTTCCATTCTTCTTTCCAGCTAACTTGAATAATAATGAGATGGTAGGGGATAGAAGGAACCATGAAAGGCCATCAAGATGGAAGATGAGAAATGTGTGTTTAGAATAGTAGAAGAAAAAGAAGCTGCTAGGCATAGCCATACCTTTTCTGGATCACCTAACCAGTCATATGTCTGGGAGACAAGTTTTTATTATTTCAGGTTTTCTGTAAATAGTTTAAATCATAATAGTACAGAGATAGTGACTATCACCTCCCAGGTGAAGGGCAGGCTATTGTACTGTGTTCATCTACACTGAATTGGATTTTGGAAATATCAAGAAATCTATATGTATTTCTTATTTAGGTCTATTCACTGGATGGCCCAAGAACTGATAACTTTGGAAAGACTTTGACCAAAACAAAACCTGTTCAAATGATCAAGCTTTCATTAAAATCTGATTTAACTTTCAATTCATAATATATGGTGATCTAATAGTTCTGGAAGAATCTGCAGGAGAAAAATAATAATGGAGATAATGACAAGTTTTAATATAATCACAGCAATAAAGGCTTTATAGGTTTTGGAGCAGAACCATGCCACTCTTTGGAGCAGCTATTCTACTTCCCCAAACACTAGCTTTCTGGTAATATTGCAATGACAGAGCACCATGAACCAAAGTACATCTTCCTAGACTGAGCACTAGATTATCTACATACTTATGAAGTTAAACATTTGGAGGACCAATCCATTAATCATAAGGCATGCATCTAGCATGGGGCCCATTCAGGTCTCAAAAGACAAAAATTGGATCCATGAGATGGTTTCTTATTGCCTACAATGTGCTGCCCCTATGTGGTGGCCACCTTTCTCTGAAATTATGCCTTTTGCTTGGAGAAGATGCTGTGGGTCAAATATGTTTCTCCATTCTACTCTGATACTAGCTGAGGGATACTACCTAGTGAGTTTGGTCTGCTGAAGGAAGAAGGTAACATTGGTGTGACAAGAAATTAATATGACACCATCTGCCACTTGTAGTTTCTCAAACTTCCTAAGCAGGAGAGGCAGTCATGATAGTGTCTGTGATGATCAATTCTGACTATCAAGAGAAAATAACTACCACAGTAAGGATTGAAATGTAGGCATGTTGATGGCCCTATGTTCTACCATTTCCTGAGGTAAAATTTATTGAAAAACTCCTACAACCTCATCAATTTTTATTTTAGAGGGCTGAAAACCCTCATAATTCTGCCAACTGATTAACTCTGGTATGTACTGAAAGGGGGGAAAATCTAATACTTGAGACAAAGATGTGAGATCTGGAATAGCCACTTGTATGGATTTATTATTTGCCTGTGGTGGATACTCTAACAACCAATATTATCCCCAACATTTGATGGATAGATTTACCATTAGTCCAAATGATGTAGAAAGTAGATTTAAAATTATAAATTGGATTTGTCTATATGTTGGGAAGGGGATAAATGTGAGTTGCACATTTTTAATATATGTAAAAACTGTTATACAAGGTACACTTGGATATATATATGTGCAGAAAGAAGGATGTGTGTGTGTGAGGCATTAAAGGAGTAGACTATACTGAAGATGACCATCATGTTAGTCAGCCTCAACTTGTTTTATCATGTCACTGGTATACAAATATAGATAAGAGGGTCACAGAAAATAGTTTAGTTTTGGTTTCCAGCAGGAGATGTTAAATTCAAAGTGGTATGATGTGTGTACTGTTGGTGATATAGACTAGAAATCCTCAGTGTCTAAACACCTGTATTTTTCTTGATGCAATCTGTCAGAGCCTGAGTAAAATGAGAAGAGGAATGGAATACAATTGGAGAAGCAAAGCTATCCACACAAGGGGATTGCTAATTTAAAATGTTGTAAGAAAAGCTAGAGAAACCTTTCAAAAAAGGAAGTATAGAAATTTCAAACCATACAGAGAGAACTTTAAAGAGGTATGGTATCCTAGGGGAGGGAGCCAGGGGAGAAGGAGAAGTGGGAAAAGACACCAAAAACTACATTTTCAGTAAATAGAGGAGGCAATCAAGGAGAATGGCCTAAAGAGATAAGAATAGAAGAATCATGATAAGACTCGGTTTCCACTTGACTCACAGAATTCTTATTGCCACAAAACAAATACACATGCTCACTAATTGCTTGCAAAGTTATATTTATTCTTTAGACCCAGTCAATAAGAAAAAGATAATTCCTCATTGTATTTACTTTGAGTAAGATACAAGAGAGTTCTTAGAAAATAAATAGCCTCTTACAACTGTCATAATTATCTGGTCATTGAGTGAGCTGAAGCAGTCTTAGTCTGTTCACACATATCTAAACAAGAGCAGGTTGTGGTGTGCCTGTATCTGTAAGATAGTGTGCTTCCATCAGGACAGTCAAGAGCAATGTCTCTGAACTCATAGTTGTCTTCTCGGCAGCAGAGGCATGAATTTTCCAACTGAAAGAGATCATAATTGTACCTAAAAGAAAAGAAAATTCAATAATAAATACATTTGAAATGTCATGACAGAAATTCAACATCAATGCTTAAATTGTAATTAATTGGTTGGAAGGCTTATTAAGTCACTTAAACAAAGTACTCTTCTCCTAGACCTTGCATTCCTTATTGCTGTAACTTCTGATAATTGGTACTTAAGAACAAAAGAAAAGAACTCAAAGAGAAGATTTGTAATCATAATATTAAGGTATAAAAAGCAAACAGATTTTAAATAACCTATTTAGGACCACATTAATCTATATATAAAACTTCACATAAAGGAATGCACTTTATTGCTTAAGGTACTGACTGTAATCACAGCAGGAAGATAAATGTATTTGCACAAATGTGTTGAGCCTGTTTAGAAAACTTGAGAATTACTTATTACTATTTTAAAATATTTGATGATCAGGATTCAAACAAATAACATTGCTCTCCTGTGGAAAAAAAAAATCTCCACGTTAATGTTTTAAAATCTTGATTTCCTCCACAGTCAATGCACAGTACACAAAGGAAAACTCACTTGAGAGTCCTTTTGCATTCACCCATACATTTTGCCATCTGGATTCTTTTCTTGCAACCATTGTACTTGACAGTCACGTTCACAGGAGAAGTTCTGCAATTATTCTTACCTAAAACAAAGAAGATAACAGGCAGGTGTGACATTTAATATTTTAACAATTGCTTAGCCTCCACTTTCTTAACCATAGAGGTAATGGCCTCAAAAATAACTATTACTAATGGAATTAACTATCTCAGTCCTCAGTAAAAGGCAACTGGTTAGTACTAAGATAAATATTACCTCATAATTGCTCTTATCACAGATGAAAGAGAAAGGGACCAGTGGGGGAAAATAGGGAAATGGATTATTAGCAGTGAAACAATAGTTGTCAAAAATAATCCATCAGTGTGCTCTAATTCAACAATTTACAACACAGCTTGCTGATGTTAAGAGCTAATCTTCTATTTAAAATTTCTTTCACTGTAAACATAACTGGTGTTCACAGGGAAGAATGTTACAGCCAAGAAGAATGAGTAAACACAATACATTAAGTATAAATATTGATGGATAGTTTAGGTTGGATTATATGTTATTAAAATACAGGTAACTTTCTATTAATGATCTTTCATTGTATTTTTAAAATCCTATCAACAGCTTATACTTTGTGTTGACATTAACTTACATGTATAGCAACATTTTCTTGAGTCATAGATTCTGTCTTCCTATAGGGGTGAGAGAAAAGAAAACAGATTGGAAAACTTTTTTCTCTAAATAATATACAATTTATAATTAAGGGGGAACAGAAAAGATGAACATGCTGATGGCAGGTCTGGAGCAGGGGCAAGGAAGGAGGGAGGTGAGCTTGGGAATAAAAATCAGGCAGTATTTAGACAGAATTCAAACTTTAACTAAATTATTTTTAAAGATAACAGCATGTAAAAAATTATTTCTTATTTTACATGAAAAATACTTCAACCTCAGACATTAAGCTTCTCAGGCAGGATCTATACCTGATCTTTGTTGTAATTACTATCCTACCAATGTCTCCAAATAAACTCTCAGTTGAAATCCAGTATTGTAGTTTTTAATAAGTTTTAAATTTTGTAACTCCAGAAAGAAAAATGATTAAGAATCCATTCATAGAATACCTTCATTTTTAGATCATATAAATGAAGATATTATGGAACAAAGGTATAAATAATACACATATATAATTATGGAAAATATTTCTATTTAATAACTGACATATTTTCTGTTGTGGCAGAGGGAAGTGATCCTGGGAATTGAACCCAGGGGCACTCTACCACTGTGCTTCATCCTCGGTCCTATTTTTTACTTTTTGAGATAGGGTCTTGCTGAGACTGACATCCAAATCACTATCCTCCTGTCTCAGCCTCCAAGTCACTGGGATTACAGGCATGCACCACCATACCCAGTTTATGATCTACTTTTTCTAAGATAGCACTAAATTAAGTTTTATAGTGCCTGTAAAAAATAAGGACCGTCCTTGATACATCCACCTTTTTAAAGGACTTTTTATATCTGTAATCATCTGACTCTTGATTCAGTAAATTTGTTTAAAGATCTATGCAATTGGGGTTGTGGCTCAGCGGTAGAGGGCTCTCCTAGCACATGCAAGGTGCTGGGTTCAATCCTCAGCACCACATAAAAATAAATAAAGATATTGTGTCCATATTTTAGAAAATCTTTTTTAAAAAGAGCTATGCAATTGATAAGAGATACATGTCTGTTGTCCAGATGCAAATTTTTTTCCAAATTTATGATAAAGAAGTCATCACGCTGCCCACTAATTAAGAACAAGACTTACTTCTGCACACCAGCTCTGCTTGGGGCAGTCTTGGACCACCGCAACAAAGCCAGTACTGTTGCAGGAGTAGGAGACACAGGGGTTGCTGGGGTCATCAAATGAGGTACCGATCTGGAAGGAAAGGAAGGGGAGAATTATTATTTGCTTCAAGTTCTTTCTGGAGTTGACAGCTAAGCCAATAAGAACAAAAACAAAAAATTCACTATTTAGTGACTGTCTAGAGGCACTTTTAGCCATTAGGTTAATAGTGAATAAAGAGTGGGTTTGAATGTCTTCTACTTTTGTGAATAAATCAAAATTCTTCATTGAGAGCATAAAGTGTCTCAATTTTTAAGAGAAAATTCACTGAATTTTCAAGAATTTTTCAAGAAAGCTTATTGTACAGTGAGCAAGCAGTTCACCACAATTGTTATACTCTAAGTTTGAGGGGAAGTAAATAAGATATCTAAGTAAGGGGAAAATGTCACAAAATCAATTTAGTACAGATGACAAACCTCCTAAGATCTCTTCTATCTTGACTATATTCCTACATGTTTAAAACCCACTAGATTTTTCTAAAGAGTTTATGTTCAACATTCTAACTACAGCATGAGAAATTTTATTTTAGGGCTTCAGACCATAAGAAGAATTTTGATAAACTGAAATTTTATTATTTTGACTGTTATGCATATACATGACTAGAGATGTTTCTTAAGTGTCATCATCTTTTGTTTAAAAACCATTATGGGTTCTAAAGTCAGATCAATGCTGAAAACTAAAAGTTTGAATATGGTAAGTAGGTTGTGAAAGTAAGACTCTCACAAGCTGTTTTATGTATTTCCTACTTTTTTATTTAGGAACTTACTTGTGGCAGAGGGGAGTGATCCTGGGAATTGAACCTTTAATTTTAGATTTTTAAAATATTTGATACCACCAGGTCAAGTATATAATTATAAAAATTGGATGATTCTCAAATTGATGTCTTTTTGACACTAATTTTCAAAAGTTAAATACTGTCCAAAGTATCAAATTAGTTGTCAAAACCAACCAGCCCTGAATATAGTGTGTCACTAAGTCCACATCGTGGGGTTCTAGTCCTCTGGGTTTTCTTGTTTGATCTCTGACAGTTTGGCCATCTGATCTTTCTGGTTATAATTACAGTTTAACTCTGCTCGTTGATTTGAATGTTACAAAGTGTGTCTTCTCCATCTGGCAAGACCCATGGGAAATTTTGTTCAGAAGCTCTACTGCTGAGTACTTAATGATGAAGTATATTTTCCCCCTTTGATAAGAACCATGGGGAGTGTTACATTTGATGTTCTTCTGAAAATTAATACAGGGACAAAAGAACTCATTCCACTCCATAATTACCATTTTTTCATATTATAAACTGAAAGATCATTGGTGTAGTTTAGCATTGCATTTAGTTATAGTTATTTTAGAGAAGAAAAGGCCTTACCTCATAATCCGTATTGTTAAATAAACACGTTTGGGGTTCTGAAAAAGACACAAGTTATTTCATTCCATAACAAATAATAGATTCTTTATCAACCAATTATGTCTCTCCTCATAATACCAAAATATGCATATAACCAGTAGATGAATGGACAACTGTTAATTTTTGGTTTCCCTAAGTTTTACCTATCACACAAATTCAATTCATTAAATGCATTATGAATACACACCACAGTGTCCAATTTCACAGCAGGTATCATTAAACGTTACAAGCTTCTCTCCGGTTCTGCATACAGGTGGAGAAGGGCACTCCTGAGGTTTACAGTCTACAGTCTTTGCATCAGTACAGGTACATTTGTGGCAATTAGAAGTCCATGTGTCTCCAGGCTGCAGGTATAAACCAAGTTTAGACGTGTATTCAGATGCAGGAATGAAAGCCAATTTGGATAAAAGTAGAGCAAAACTGTGCACTTACAGATTTCTCTTCTCCCAGTGGACCATGACACACTGTTAACACAAAATGATAAATGCTAATTAAATTTGGCAAAATACAACCATCTGTTATTTATAGATAACCAGCAGGTGGCCAATACTGTAATTGGCACTAGGATTTTAGAGTCACAGGATTATGTAGTGCCTTGAGGTAGATAAATCATATCTACCTACTTTAAGCAAACATTCCTTAAAAAGCATATATATCCTATTTTTATAATCCTCAGTAAAAAAAAATTCTCAATTTTTTATTTTTCTGGCAGTAGTCAATAAATCTCATGGCTACCATCTGGTTTCATGTTTTATAATCTGACACTTGCCTCCACAATCCTATAAATCAGCAAGACCTCATAAGGTCACACACAAAGACCCTTTCCTCAAATTTAACACTTGTAAATTCCTGTCTTTACTAGAAGAAGTTCTTATTCTTATTTTGTCTCTATTCTGTCCCCTGGAACTTTGTCTCCACCAGGTCCACTATAACATCAAGGGGATGCCTGATCCTCCATTATCCATCTGCAGTTCAGGCCTCTCCTGACTGTGACTCCAGTTCTCATTCCACCTAACAGCATCCCAATGGACCTACAGGAACCTCAAACTCGATGTGCACACAGATTATATCATCTTGTTCCTAAAAATCAACTTTCTGGACTGTCTTTTTCCTATTAAGGACCAAACTATTCTTTCAATCATGCAAGCTTAAAACTTATGAGCAATTTTGATTCCTTCCTTTCTGTCTGTCTTCCAAGCTACTGCAAGTCCTGTATCTCATACCCTACCTTGCCATACTGGCTGCCAATCTACCCCAAGACTTTACCCCAATACCTTACTATTTTGAATATCCTCCTGATCCAATCAGTTTTCTATACCACAGTTAAAACAATTGCCTTGTGAAAATTCTCCATGTTTCTTTGAAGAGCTTTCTTCTTCCAATTTTACCTTGTGGTAAAGAATGATTCTTTTGTTTGTTTTTTGGAATTTTTCCTACTTGCCACAAAGCATACTTTATTATCTCAAGAATAGTGGGAACTTGGGCTGGGGTTGCGTAACTCAGTAGTAGAGTGCTTGCCTAGCACACATGATGCATGGGGTTAATCCTCAGAACCACATTAAAAAAAATTAAACTAAAAAGAATAGTGAGAACTCAATGAAGTCCTTTAAAATTATTGAATCATTTCTTAAGATCAACCCTAAGAAAGTTAGCCACTTGATAGTGGGCATTTTAAATGCCCACTAAGTTCAAAATATATTTCAATCAAAATACATAAAAAGTTTGCCTACTAGTTATTTCAGGTAATGATGTCATATTTGTTTTGTTTGGCTGCACTAGTAGTGAGGATAAAAACCATTATTCGTGGTTTATTTGGTGATTGGAAGCTACATTCATCCACTTCAAGTTTGCTAATAACATTTCCATGGCTAGGGACTTTTGTTGGCAATAGCTTTGAAACGTGATTCACAAGAGCCATTACTGCAGAATGATTCTGCAATGGAGTTGTTCTTACCTGGAGCTGGTGGAAGTGTTCCTGGGCATCCTATGCAAACATAGAAAACTCATTAGTACCTGAAATTCAGGAATAGTGTTGGGGATAGTTACTTAATTCATTATTCTATTGCTGGGGGTAAATGGCTAGGTAGTCAGAATAGATGGGAATACAGCTGTAAGACTGTCATTACTTTCTGCTCCTCATGGTATTTGAGAGCCCACCATTACAAAGTGTTTCCTTTACACTCCAAATTTTAATGGGACAGAAATATGAGAACAGAAAGGAGAAAACATGAAGATAAAATTTGCTTCAAAATTTTCTTGGAAAACAGTTCCAATGAATAAGACAATAAAATAAGAAAAATTCATGTACAGAAAAATCTAATTACTACCTAATTTTAATTCTCTAGAAACTTTTCTCTTCTGGATCCTCTCTCCCTACCAAATGCTTTCTTTCTTTTCCTCCACCAAATGCTTTAAACTGGTCATATTTCTTTATCCTCTGGACCCTTCACATATCACTTATCTATATTAACCCAACAATCCACTCATAAATCTTAAATTATATTTCAAAATCACCAAAACATAATTGGTAGGTACAATAAAAATGAGGCTGGATAGAAACAACAGAATACTTTAGAAGAACTTAAAAATGCTACATTTTTAGGTCAAGCAATTCCAACAACTAATAGCTACCAAAAATGTAGATATGAGTAAAAGACGTGGAAGTTTCAGGTAGTAAATGTCTCTAGCTCCTTGACAAGGTAGACTTCGGTAACTCCTAATCATAAATGCTTAGCAGAATAATAGAAACCAGTAATAGGAGAGAGATCAACAATTAGGCATAAGTACAGAAGAAAACAACAATCTTCTAAACTGGGCATGGTGGCACAGGCCTGTAATCCCAGCAGCTTGGGAGGCTGAGGCAGAAGGATGGCGAGTTCAAAGGCATCCTCAGAAATTTAGTGATGCTCTAAGCAACTCAGTGAGACCATGTCTCTGAATAAACTATAAAAAGGGATGGGAGTGGGGCTCAGTGGTTAAGGGCCCCTGGGTTCAATCCTTGGTACCAAAAAAACAAAACAATCTTCTAATCTCCACATTGCTCTTAGAGTAATTTCTCTAAAACTATCTGATCATATCATTCTCTTGATAAAATTTGGAAAAGGATCTCATTACTTAAAAGGATAGAATCTTATTTAAGATTAGAAAGTAGAAAGATTTTATTTTCAATCTCATTTCTTCCTTAGGCCTCCTTCCATCATTGCCAATAACTCCTTGATTTCTGAACTCACCTGTGTGGTGTTATGTCTGTTTTCATAGGCAATTGACAGGAATTCTCTCCCTGACCACTCAGTAAACAATCATCTCCTTTCTGAAGCCTTCATTCACAACTATAATAAGCAGACATGAACACTCTACTCTTACCCTGCTTTTCTGGAACCACGTTTTATACGTATTTTAGGTTACCATTAAATAGAATATTATGGGCATAGACTTTATCACTATAATCTCCCTCTTCCTTGACACACAAAAGATCATAAAATGGCAAGTACTATAATCTTCCTGATGGTTTTGCTCTTAAGTCTGCTACAGAGTCTAGCACATAGGAGGTACTAAATAAATATTAGCTGGATTAGTAGCACAGTAATTAGGTCTTCTCCCATTCTGACCTGTTTTATTTTCAACTTCTTGATTCTCTGTTGCTACTACAGTGGTTTCTGAAGGGAGATAAAATTAGAATAATAAGCATACATATCAAATCTCTGTGTGTGTGCATGCCCAAACAATGGCACAAATTCATAACACAAGGCACAGTGCTTCATATGGAATAGATAATTCTTTCTAGTTCATTCGGGTCAGTCCTTTTTACCTGGCTGAGATACTTGTGGGCCTGTTGTGACTCCAGCTGTAACTGAAGTGGAACCTGCCAGAGGAAATAAATAGAAAGTTTCAGAACTAACACCCTTCGTCATCCCTTTCTCAGAAATCTCAAGCTTCATGAATGTCTTTAGGACAGGAGCCTGAGAAAAAAGGCCACCCTAGCTGGACTTCAATGTTATGTTCTAATAGGAAGTTTAACTTCATCTTCCTGGCTCCTCTATCCCCACATTCACCTCCTAAAGTGTCATCAAAGCCATCCCAGTTAAGGAAGAGGTTGTATAGCTAACATTCACCTGTTTGCACTGCAGTGCTTGAAGTTTCCTCGACTCCCGTGGAAGCAGTGGCTGCTAATAGAGGAACAAGAGTGAGTGCCGAGGATTGAAGAAATGGGTTCACTTCAGATAATCTATCCTGTCATCAAGACACCTCCAAGAAAAGTCCATGTGGGTGCATTTTACTTACCTGTGGTAGTAATTCCAGCAGTAGTTGTTTCAGATGATTCCTTGGGGGTACCTAAAATGAGCAAGGAAATAACATGCAGGTTTTCTGATATCCAAAGACCAAGTCTTTTAAGACACCTCCACATGCAGGAAGAGTCTCCAAGCTGACAGAGTGCACTAATGCATCTCATGCGAGTTCAAGCCTGGGCCACAGAAACGTTAAGAGGTCTCCCTCTTAGTTGCTCACAGAGGTGGATCGAATGTTACTTTGATCCCAATAAGTTTTTTACTTGTAGGTCCCTCTTCTCTAAGTGGCAAGAGCTTTTCTCTCACTTAACTCTTTTACTTCATGTGACTTGGTTTCCTGGTTCTCTTATAGTAGTTTGGGGTGAGGGAGAAAGAAGGTATAAAAGAGTGAGAGAAAATGAAAAAAAAAAAAAAGGCATCTTGGTAGACCAAGATGACCTCATGTTCCTCTCAGCTTGATTAAACTTTAGGCATGTTTCTTCCTAGCAGCAGGCTCCAGACTTGGAAGAGGAGGAGGCAATGTGAGGAATGTCTTTTTTTTCCCCACCTGTAGTTTAGGACAGATCCATGTGTTTTTGTGAAACAAAGTATTCCTTCTCCAGGATTCTGTGTACCAAGCAGTGAAATTATGTGTTTTCCCTGTTTGGATATATATATATATATATATATATATATATATATATATATATATTTGTTTTACAAGATGCTTTTTTTTTTTTTTTGTAGTGAACTTTAGTTCTCTGGGATGCTTCTCTTTGAGTTCTTGCCCTGGAGATGGGAATCTTACCCCCGCCCCCCCAGCCTCACCTTTTTCAATTCCCCTTGTTGGCCTGATTCACTTCTAAACCTTGGAATCATATTGGTGACACATGAAAACTAAATACTGGGAAGGACTAAGAATCTTGATATTTTAATACTTTGAAGATGGTTTCTCCCTTCTTTCAATTTTACTGCCATGAGACTAAGTACTCTAAAAAATGAATCTTATTTAAAAATGGGTCCTCAGAAAATTTTTATTGATCTTGTTTAATCTGAGATTCTGAAGCTCCAAATTAGAGGCAGCATGGTCTCCTAGTACAGTGTGTACATGCCAGCACTCCAACACTGTTAGGTAATGGCAAAAGCACATTGGCAACTGTCAAGCAGGAACATGCGCTCCCCGCCCCCGGCACCTTTGCCTTGGCCATGCTTTAGGTACTAGTGAACCCAAGGAACTGTTTTCTCATTCTATGTGATTATTTAAAACAAAGTCATCAGCACCCATGGTTTCAAATATCATTTGATTCCTGTCCCCATTGAGTATTTATTTCTGGGGAGCTATATCCTAACAAAGATGTGGTTAATGTCATCTTTAGTTCAGGAAATTCCACAGCATTATTATGACCAACCTTAATTGACTCAATGAAAAGTTATGTCCTATCAGATAGGACATGAGATTGAGAAAGTGAAATGGAAGGAAAGAAAGAGATCAATAGATCACAGTAGTCCCAGTAGTGATTGTTTTGCCTTGAGAATAGTGTGGATTTAGACTAATTCAAATTGTTTCTTATAAGCAGTCTCTTAATGCAAGAGAAACAAACACCATGCTTTTTTTCCCCTCAAACCAATAGATGGCAAAATTCTCAGCCATTTGCTATAGTTTAATACTTTGGAAATAAGTGCTTTATCTCTGCTCACCTGTGTTACTTCCTGTGACTTGCTTCCCTGGTTCTTCTGTAGAAACTCCTGGGATTGGGAGGGGAGGTAAAAATTTTTTAATTAAATTTGTTAGGACCTTAGTATTGAGGACAAATCCATAGGAATGGCTTTTATACTTAAGATAAGGCTAAACGGGTGACTACTAACCAGGACTGGAATTTTCTGGGCGCCTAGAAACTGTAGTTGAACCTGAAGTTGTACCTACAAAAGCAAGATGGATTAAGAGTAACACGTTGTATTTAGCTTCATATAATCACATTTAAAAGGCTGGTGAAAATCAGTGTAGAGAGCAAAAGAACCAAGCCTGATTCACCTGACAGATCATCTTCAAGTGAAATACAAAACCCTTCTCCAGCCCCTCTCACTCATCCATCATCTACCACAATCTTAGAACCCAAAAGGCTGAAAGAACAAACCACTTACCAGTTTCCAATTTTACTCCAGTGGTAGGGATGACTTCTGTAGAAGTGGTAGCCCCTGAGAAGAAATAGGAGAAATCTGTAACTGTTACTTTATGTAATATGCCTTTGATGAGCTATTCAGTCCTCTGAAGTTCACAGAGACAAACTTCTCCCAATTCTTTCATGACTCACGTGTGTTGGAACTCCTGGGAGCAAGGGTTGTACCAGTAGTTATCCCGGTGGTGGTAACTGAAATCACAAAAGGAGAAGATCACCTTGTTAATTCCCTTTTACCTAAAATTAGGATTTGTTTCAGAATAAATTTGTGAGTTTTTCAAGTGAACTAAAACAAACTTTCTTGCCTTAAGTGGTATATCACATGTGGTCTCAATTATGCCACTTTAATTCAAACAGAAAGGGCAATTCACCTGGGGTAATGTCTTAACATTCCGATAATTTGTACTAAAAGACATCTTGAACATAATATCTGCTGTATTCATTATAGCCAACATAATTCAAGATGAAGAAAATATTTGATGGTTAGTGCTTACCTATGCTAACTTTAGCTTCTGTGGTTTTGTCATGTCCTAAAGTTGTGGCCTCTAAGAATTGAAAGGAAAATCACAGAACTCAGAAAGTTTGGTGTCTCCAACTAGGAATGTGGATGTTTTAGGGGAGGGGTATCTTGTTATTGAAGCTCCTTATATTCCTTGTTAGGTTATTGATTTACCTGTGTTGGAACTTTCAGATGGAATTGTTGTGCCAGAGACCACTTCAGTGGTACCTAAAATAGAAGAAAGGGAGAGAAGGAAAATCAATTTGGTTTACACTTACCATTCCAAGAATGTGACCAACAATGACTGACTCAAAAGCAATAGAAGGCCTTTTTTGGGCTCACCTGTGATGCAAAGTACGTTCTGCATTTTTAAATTCAAAGTTACAATGAACACATTAAAACGTGGTCTAGTCTTAAAGTTTTACTTCCCTGGGGTTAAATGTTAGAGGTCTCACAGTCTTCCCTACATTTACCTGTTTCACTTTCAGAGCCTGGGGTCTCAGAGATGCCAGTGGTAGCTCCTAATGACAAAAATATTTGTGTCAATGCATTCAGCAATATTCAATGAATAAACTTATAACACCAAGAGTTATTTCCATCACCTCTGCTCCTCTAATAGAACCCGATGGATATGGATTGCTGCCATTTGGGACTTGGGTAATAGCTTGAATGTCAAAAGGGAAAATCTTTCTGGACTCTGAACCTCTTCAAAATTATAGTTTATGATCTGCCCCGAAAAGAAATGATATAATTTTCACAAGCTTCATCTAACAAATGTATCCGTGAAAAGGCTAAGGCCAAATATAAATCAGTGGGATCTCAAGAGTTGCCAATTCCATTTTCATTGGTTATGCTTCCTTCTACAGGAGTTGTACCTTTGTGAGAGTCAACAGGAAGAAAGTAGGGAGGGCTAATGGAAGATGATAAAAAGCTATAGTGCAATACTTGCTCCAGAGCCAGCCTCCAAAAATAAATATGGCACCTGTTCCTCAATAACATTCCTGACTAACCTGTGTTGGAATTTCCAGGTGAGGTGTTGCTGCCAGGGACCGCTCTAGTAGTACCTAAATGTAAAATGGAAGGGTATCATTATGTCAATTTCATTCCTATCAGAAGGATGTAGGCTAGAATAGGAGGGGAAAATTATGGAAGCTTTTATTATAGGGAAAGACCATTCTCAGGGAATGTTTGTTCCAAAGTTGTTTTGAGTTTTTGCCTAAAGCTTCATTATCAAAATGAACTTGGTTGGTGGAAGATGCAGTAGGGGTGGTCTCTGTGTTAGGGAAATAAAGTAATCTTTCTTTCCTCTTCTGGCTGTATACCAATTCCTTGGCTACCAAAACTATTTTCAGTAGAAGCAGCAGCAAAGCGGGAATTGATTACCTACTGAGTTTGGGTATATTTGGGTAATATACTGCTGTTATAGAAATTTTAGCATTCTAGAAAAGTTGAGACAAGAAATATTAATGAGCAAGTTAGTTAATATCTCTGAGCCATAGGTTTTCTCATCTGTAAAATCTGACAAGAATCATATTCACCTCACAGTCAAATAACAATGGTGTAGAATAGTTGCAACTTGTGTATAATTTTGTTGGGCATCACTGTTGAAAGTGGAGAGGTTAAGAAGCTTTTATAATCACCTGTATTCTTTCCAATTCCTGTGGTTTGACTGACTCCTGAGGATGTTGTAACTTATAAGAGAGAAGAAAGGTATAAAAATATAAAGTGACAAGGCTTTAGTATTTAGAGGAAAGAATATACTTTTCTTGAGAGCTATACTATGAGAGACACAGGTCATCCTGTGGGAGATTCTTGCTAATTTGTTGGCTCACCTGTATTTGAACTCCCAGGTGCCAGTGTGGTGCCAGAAGCTGTCTTCGTGGGTTCTGCAACAAGAAAGAAAATGGCAAGTTTTTCTCAAGTTGGGGAGAGACTTATGTGGGAGGAAACTGGTTAATCTGGTAAGGTTTTTCAACTGGGAGTGAATTAGTTGTTTGCTCATGCATAGCTTTTTAACAAGTCAAAGAAATATACTAATTTCTTAACACTGGGACCCACCTTTTCTGGAATTTAATGGCAGTAAAACAAGTGGCCCCTTTTCCTGCCATATTTACCTAGTGTGCTTCCAGTTCCTTGGTTTACTGTTTCTTTGGTAGCTCCTAAAAAGATGAATGTGGGAAAACTTTTCAATATAAAGGTAGACTTGAGTTATAACCTCCACATATTTTAGTCACTATGTGCTTAGTGAAGAATCTCCCATCATGAGGTAAATTTTTTGTGTTCAACTTGGGTTTCTATTTACCTGAAATAGTACTCTTTGAGCCTGTATTTCCTTTAGGTGATACTGTGGTGACACCTGAGAGTACAAATGGAAAAAGAAAAATTTCCACATAATTATTTCCACTCACATTTTCAGAGATCTACTTATGTCAGGCTGGGCCATTTCTGCAAAGACTTCAAAAAATCAAGTGACAAAACAAAGCATCGCTGATGTTAGATGAGAGTTCCTAAAAATAACTCTTCCCCATGAAATTATTTCACCAAGAAGTAAAGCATAATTCTAATTTATCACCGAAAAATCACACACACACACACACATCATTAATTCTCATCTGTTTTCCATCCTAACAAAGTGGTTCTACTGACTCCTGTGGAAGCTGTGGCTTCTGGAAGACAGAAGAAATGGGAAACGATAAGAATTTAGGAAGATAGGAAACTGTATTGTTATGCTCTTACATGAGAAAAGCAATGCAAAAGATATTTCTGTGACCTTATTTCCAAAAACGGAAGTTTCTTCTTGCCTTGTTAACCTACCTGTACTAGAACTTCCAGGTGCAACAGATGTGCTTAAGGTCACACCAGTAGTGCCTGAAACAAAAAGGCCATAAAATCAACATAAGAATCATCTGCATTCAGGTAACCTTTTAATACATGTTTCCTGGGCTGCATCATCCTACAGTCCTGCCCTGGACAGCTCTGGGAGACACCGGTGTTCTCTTAGAACACTTTGTCTATGTGGCGGTTCTATGGGCATGTCCTTTCACTGATCTTTCTGCTCCTGGATTCAATCCTGTATTTTGCCTGCATATCAATTATTCAATTTTTCCAGTAAATATTTACTGAGTCCTGTTTAGTACTAGGCATCAGTGAACAAAATAAAAAAATAATTTTCTCAGGAACACCATCTTAGAGTAGGCTTGCTTAGCATATATAAGATACAATCCTCAAATGGGAGACAGAAGAATTTGTTTAACAAATTTACCTCTTTGACTTCCAGTGACTTGTTTGTCTGATGCTCCAGAGGTGGTTTGTGATGATTGAAAGAAAATGATTCAAGCATGTTTTGACCTTTAATCAGTGAACCGACCCTTAAGCAACATATTTATAGTTTAAGAAGTCAAATGGGAGGCAATCAATTTTTTATTTCACTTTAAGTCTCCTGATTATCTGAGTCTGGACCTTCTAGACTAGCATTCACTCTTGCTAATACTGCAAAATCATACCTATAATTTCCAATGGGTTAACTGTCCAGCAAATCACTTCTGCTACCCTCTTCAGAAACCTATACCATAAGGCCAGGCACTGAAAATGACTAGTACAGAAACTGTCTTAGTGGTGTGTGTGTCAGCAGCATGGTTGGCCTGAGTATGGGCTGGGGCACCTGCCCTTCCTGTAAAACAAGCTTTCACATCCAGAAGCAAATTCCTGAATGTTTTTGATGATAGTGCTAACATCTGGGACCTCTAGTTCTCACTGATTTCATCACAGTAGCAATGATGGTTTCTAAGTAAGCTTTGGCCTCTGGAGGAGGAAATGAAGAAGGCAGAAAGCACATTTGGGGATGCATACTTCTCCTTGAGGTTAAATAATTGTTACTATTTTGAAAATATTTGTTTACCTGTAATGGAAGTCTCAGGTGCAACAGTTGTGTCAGAGACTACACCACTGGTACCTGGAATCACAAGGAAGAAGAGATTATCATTTCCTTTATATTTTTTAATATAAACTTTTAAGGCCTATTCTAGGATTCCTCATACAATTTCCAACAAGTGCATTTTTTTTTCCCACAAATGTAGGAGAGGTGCAAAAATCTAAGCTCTCAAGAGATGTCTCCTTATTCTGAAGTTTGGGAAATATTTGTAATTTTTCACGCTTTCATGTTTGATTATCGGAAACTTGATCCCCACATACAGAGTTCTTGACTATTGAAGAAAAGATAATATGTTGAATGTTAATGTAAGGATTTGGGAACAACACTGATATTCTGAAATAATAAAAACAAAAGTTCCCTTAGGTTGAAATAAATACAGAATGATTTCTACCTTTAAAATTGTTAGAAGGAATTTACTAACTACCTATTTTTACCTGGGACTGTTATTG